AAGCTTTTGATGAACTTCTGCTTATGAAGAGAGGAGGACAAGTGATTTACGCTGGTCCTCTAGGTCAAAACTCCCACAAGATTATTGAATATTTCCAGGTTAGATTCTAAATTTTGTAAGGAGTCTCTTATTGAAAATCTGAGTTCTCTGATCACTACTCTTATAGGCAATTCCTGGAGTTCCTAAAATTAAAGAGAAGTATAATCCAGCGACATGGATGCTAGAAGTGAGCTCACTTGCTGCAGAAGCTAAGCTTGAGATAGATTTTGCTGAGCATTACATAACATCATCATTATATCAGTAAGTTAAACATAAGGCTCAAAAACCCTAATCAATCACTAGAGTTTACACTAACTATTTAAACTGATCTTGGTGTAGACAAAACAAGAAGCTTGTAAAGGAACTAAGCACACCACCACAAGGAGCAAACGATCTCTATTTCTCAACGCAGTTCGCAGAATCATTGTTAGGACAATTCAAATCTTGTCTATGGAAACAATGGATAACTTACTGGAGAACTCCAGACTACAATCTAGCCAGATTTTTCTTCACATTTGTTGCAGCTCTCATGGTCGGTTCAATCTTCTGGAAAGTTGGCACAACAAGGTTTCTTCAAATATCTTAATCCTGAAAGCCAGTAAATAAGTTAGTACTAACAAAAACCCTAATATATAACTTCTTGTATGAGCAGGGAGAGTGCCAATGATCTTACAAAGGTTATTGGAGCAATGTATGCTGCTGTTTTATTCGTTGGAATAAACAATGCAACATCTGTCCAGCCACTTGTATCAGTGGAAAGAACTGTGTTCTATAGAGAAAGAGCTGCTGAAATGTACTCTGCTTTACCCTATGCACTAGCACAGGTGAGATTTTACTTTCTTGATCAACAAGAAATGTTTAGGGCTAGTAATTAACTATTTATTTTTTCATTGGATTCAGGTGGTGTGTGAAATACCGTATGTGCTGATCCAAACTATGTATTATACGTTGATTACATACGCAATGATGTGTTTCGAATGGACCGTGGTCAAGTTCTTCTGGTTCTTCTTCGTATCATTCTTCTCCTTCCTCTACTTCACATACTACGGGATGATGGCTGTAGCCATCACCCCGAACCAGCAAGTCGCAGCTATTTTCGCAGGAGCGTTCTATGGTCTTTTTAACCTCTTTTCCGGTTTTCTCATTCCTAGACCGGTTAGTTTTGATTACGTCCATCGCAAGATACAGTAAAACCTCTATAAATTAATAATGTTGGGACTTTGAAATTTTATTAATTTATAGAGATATTAATTTACGAAAGTTTCCTTATTTAGATTTTTTTCTATTTTTATTTATAAAATAAAAATATTTGATTTTAGCATATGTACATTATTTAAATTTTTAAGAAATTGAGTTTTATATTGTTTTATTATCTTATTTGGTGTATATTTTTTATGTTTCATAGAATTGTTACATGGTTTTCGATGTAATTTAACTAAATATTATCAAAATATATTACAACGTTTAAAAAATAAAAGTATTTTTATAGTAAATATAAAATCCCTAACTCAATATTATCAAAATATACTGAAATGTTTAAAAAATAAGAGTATTTCTATAGTAAATATAAAACCAACAATATAATGTTAGATTGTACTTATATAAAATTATATATAGCTATATTATTAATTTATGATTTTATTGGGACCATATATTTACATGGAAATTTTAAAAATATTATTATCTTATTATTTTATCGATTTGTGTCATATTTTACACCGGCCCAAGTTGGGACCGATGAAATTTATTAATTTATAGAGATTATTAATTTATCGAGTATTAATTTATAGAGGTTCTACTGTACGTACCCTAAGGTTTTTGTAAATATTTTGATTGTGTTATAAGTTGGTTTTACATTTCTGCAGAGAATACCGAAATGGTGGATATGGTATTACTGGATCTGTCCAGTAGCTTGGACTGTGTATGGATTGATTGTTTCACAGTATGGCGATCAAGAGGATAGGATCAAAGTTCCGGGTATGATGGAAGATCCGACGATAAAATGGTATATTGAGAATCATTACGGATACGACCCAAATTTTATGGGCTCTATTGCTGCTGTGTTGGTGGGTTTCACAGTTTTTTTCGCTTTTATGTTTGCTTTTGGCATCAAAATGTTAAACTTCCAGCAGAGATAGAGTGAAGTTAAATGTTTTTTGTTTTTTTTTTTGGACTAATGATTTTTCTTAAAAAATATTATGTCAAGAACACTTATTATTAAGTGGGGATTATTATTGGTGTATCTTAATATAACTGGAATTCTAAATTAAATTCAGTGTAATTTGTTTTCTGAATTTAACTTTTAGTTAAATTAATTGTTATTGGTTTAAGAGTTTACAATTTTTTATTGAAATTTGTGTTTTTATTCATGAAACTTTGTTAAAAAATTTGATATTTATAGTTTTTCTAAAACCATCAAAGAAATAAAACTGAAAAAAATCTCTGAATTTTTAAAATATCTTATTATATAAAACTTGGTTCTTCAAAGTTACTAACACGATCGCGACACATGTCAGTTATATATCTAAGATTCTAACATGTGTTAATACTAATTTTCTTTTTATAAAATCATTAAAAAAAGATAATTGTAAAAAATATTTGATAGTAATTGTCCTTTTTATTTTTTAAATTCTTAAACCAAAAATTATAAAAGCGTGTTTAATGTTAATTTTCTTTTATTCAAATCTTAATTAAAAATATCATAAACAAAAAAGAACTATCATTATTCAAATATATTAACACAATATTTTGAAAAAAAAATATAATTTTTTTTTACAAATCTTTTACCAAAAACGATATGCAAATATAACTTATTAAATACTAATTTTTTTTTCCAAAATCACAAAGAAAAAATACTATTTAAAAAAAATTGAAAGTGATTATCCTTCTAAAAAAAATTAAACAAGAAAATTTTAAAAGAGTGTTTAATGTTAATTTTCTTTTATTCAATCCTAATTAAAATACAGTAACCCAAAAAGAACTATAATTATTCATATATTAACAAGATTTTTTTTTAAAAAAAGTAATAGTAATTTTCCGTTTTTACAAATATTATAAAAAAACTATTTTTTAAAAAAAGTTATTTAATGCTAATTTCCCTTTTCGAAAATCATAAAAAAAGATAAACGTAAAAAAATTGATAGTAATTATCTTTTAAAAATATTAAACCAGAAAATTGTAAAAGAGTATTTAATATTAATTTCTTAAATCCTAATTAAAAAGATCATAAACCAAAATAATTACAATTATTTATATATATAAGACTAAGCTCTCTCACATTTTGTCATTTCTCATATTTGATCACCAAACATAATTATTGATTTAAGAAAAATATCAAAAGAGTTTTTTGCATGGTCTTTCACATTTTCGCGTGTTAATTTTTTTACTTATGATGTTGTACAGCTAGCTAACGTCTGTATTATGCTTATGTGTGTTTTTTTGTATTGACCCTCTGAAATTGGTTATGCTAGGTGAGTTAATGACAACGCCAATTTACTACTTTAATACTTTTATATATGCTTATGTGTGTTCGTTCTATTTATTATTTCTACCTAAAACCATAATTTAATTTGCTACCAGAAATCTTATAAAAAACAACAGCTTCAGAAAGTTATTTAACTCCAGATCAATTAACTAAGAAATTTCTTTACCATCATATTGTAGTACGTCTTACTAGAAATTGGAAGAAAGAAATTTAAACAAGAATAGTGAGTTTATAGGAATGAATTTTCTTCTACTTAATGAGAAGGTAAATATTTTATTTATTAAAAAACTCATATAATTTCATTATTAAAAATAATTTGTTTATTATGTAGAAAAAAATATTCAAGGTTATGTGCATTATTATCTTATTGAAAAGTTGGGAGATGGGTTACGTGAAAGAATCCTTATTGAAATCTGCAATTTTAATTTGTAAAATTGCAATAATAACTATGAACTCTCCAATCATAAATTTCAGATAAAATTAACCAAAAGATTTTGCTCAAGCACCGTCTGAAAATTTTCTTTTCGAAATTATGAAGATTTTTCTCAACTGAAATATTCCATACGATTTATATGGTAATATTCATAATATTATATCAATTTTTTGTATCAATTTGGTTGTCGAATATTTTATATTTCTATCAATTGATTGGATATTTGTAATGAATTTTACTTGAAATAACATTATTGTATAATACGATTTTGTTAGAGATGTAATCGGATATATAAATAATATTAAGAAAATAGATGTTCGTAATCAGACACCACATGTCCTCGGAAAAGTTATTCTAATTTCATTGTTAGGAAGATATTATTTTAAATCCAATTTTATTAATGAGTTTGTAACTATAAAATAAGTCTCACACAATTTATGCAACAAAAATCCGAAATTTGTAATAAAATTGTTTATTGTTTTTATGTTCTTTATTAAATTAAAATATCAAACAAAATCTGATGCAACGCACCGACCTTACCTAGTTAATTAATAAACTTATGTTAGAATTAAATTTCAGTAAATTTTATATAAATTTTAGAAAATTAAAATACACAAACAAATAACACACTATAAAGCTTGCTCATATCACATTCTATGCCTACTAAGAAAACTAAATGTGTCTATATACTTTTAATCTTCGTGATAATATCCAACCCCTTTACGTCTACACCACTTGATCCACCATCTCATAATAAAAACGTGTTTCTTATCATTATCCATAAGTAGATAGATTTTCACAAGTGGGTCAAAAGGAGAATGTAGTACTCTTTTTTATTTGTCAACATGTATTTACTTATTTCCTTTCATGACAGACTTAGATTAAATAATAATATCCTCAACATTTAAATCATTTAAAATAAGATTATCTTGGTTATCAGAACTGAATTTGTCGGTAACGTTGTTCATATTATAAAAAATTATCCTAAACAAAGAGGTGTGTATATATATATATAAATTAAGTTAGTTGCCAAAAAACAAAAATATCCAGGTAAGATAAGATATAAATAAAAGCTTTTATAATTAGTAAACTTAAACACGGATTAAAAACGTAAGATCCACCATAATCCTCTCGGTCTTTTTTCTTTCCATAAAAAATCAAAAAAATCAATTTATTTTGTCTTAATCGAATTTGTGTATACAAAAGAAAGAACCTATTTACGGAGAAGCATTTATTACACAGATAAAGTGTTTTGTTTTTGTTTTTGTTGGGTTGTGTGTGTTTTGTGCGGATGACTCGTAGGTGTTCCCATTGTAGTTACAATGGACACAACTCCCGCACGTGTCCGACTCGTGGCGGCACGTGCGGTGGAAACGGTGTTTCCTCCTCTGCCGTGAAGCTGTTCGGCGTGAGGTTGACGGATGGGTCGATTATCAAGAAGAGTGCGAGTATGGGTAACCTCTCCGCATTGGCTGTGCATCACCGTTTGTCTCCGTCGTCTCCTTTGGCGACGGGGAATCATAATGACTCGACGTTATCGGATCACGGGAGGTACTCGAATCGAGATGGCGGAGGGTATTTGTCGGATGATCCAGGTCATGGTTCTGGGTCTATTCATCGTCGTGTGGAGAGGAAGAGAGGTAATTATCAATAGCTAAAGTTTTGAGCTTTGAATTGAAATTTTTTAAAGTTTTGGACTTTGGGGTTGAAAATATTTATAAAGTTTTGACTTTTGGATTGAAATTGTTGTAAAGGTTTGAACTTTGGGATTGAAATTGTAAAGTTTTGGACTTTGGGATTGAAATTGTTATAAAGTTTTGAACTTTGGGATTGAAAATGTTTATAAAGTTTTGAACTTTAGGACTGAAACTGTTATGAAGTTTTGGACTTTGGGTTTGAAATTGTTATAAAGTTTTGGACTTTTGAACTGAAATTGTTATAAACTTTTGGACTTTAGGATTGAAATGGTTCTTTTTTTTTGAACACCAAGATTGAAATGGTTCTATAGTTGTAGTGTTGTTGCTCTGTTTCAATCCTTGGTGAAGCAAGATACTCCCTCCGTTTCGTATTAAATGTCATTGTAGAGAATTTTTTACGTTACAAAATAAGTGTCGTTTTCGATTTTCAATACAAAATTTATTACTTTTATTATGTAATTTGTTTTTCTATTGGTTAAAATATGGTTAGGTGTATGGGTAACTGTGTTTTTATATGGGAATATATAAAATTAATTATTTTCTTAATCCGTGTGCACAGCTGTAGAGGGACACTTATAATGAAACAGGAGTATGATTTAAAAAAAAAAAATATATGAAAATCTTTCCATGTGTTTGAGACTTTATACTTTTGAAATTAATATTGGTTATTGCCGAAAAAAATTTGGTCTTACCGGTTAGTGAAATTGTTGAGAAAAAAAAAACAGATAAAACTTATGCAGGACAGTAGTTTTAAGATGGGGGCATAGTTGTTCTGACATTTATCTTATTTGTGGATCTTAGTGTTGAATTTAAGTCTGGTTATATATGTGTTTGATGATGAAATGTTGTAGCATTTTTAAATGTGATGTAATTTTGACATGTTTGATTTGGTTTTACAGGTGTTCCTTGGACTGAGGAGGAACATAGGCTATTCTTAGTGGGTCTTCAGAAGCTAGGGAAAGGAGATTGGCGTGGTATTTCAAGAAACTATGTAACTTCAAGAACTCCAACACAAGTGGCTAGTCATGCTCAAAAGTATTTCATCCGCCATACTTGTTCCAGCCGCAGGAAAAGACGTTCTAGCCTCTTTGACATGGTTACTGATGAAATGGTTCGCATCTTTACTGATCTTGCATGTGTTATTATATAGAAACTTATATTGAAAATCTCTTTTGTTTTGCCTTCTTTTAGGTAACCGATTCATCGCCAACACAGGAAGACCAAACCTTAAACCGTTCCCCTCCAAGCAAGGAACCTGAGAACAAAACCAACCTTCCTTCACTTGAGCTTAAACTCAATAATGCTACAGAATCTGAAGCGCCACCACAGGAGACACCTGAGGAAGCTATAGAACCAACAAACGGGATTTCACCAATGCTAGTCCCAAACGGCTTCTTTCCTCCTTGCTTTCCAGTCACTTACACGATCTGGCTCCCTGCAACGTCCACTTCACTTCAAGGAACAGAGGAAATCTCAGCTTCTTCTCAGCAGCATCAGGTCTTAAAACCAAAACCTGGTTTTGCTAAAGAGCGGACCAACATGGACGAGCTGGTGGGTATGTCTCAGCTTAGCATAGGAATGGAGACAAGACATGAAACGGAGAGTTCTCATTCTCCAGCACCTTTATCTCTGAAACTGATAGGAGAGCCAACAAGGCCATCTGCGTTTCACACCAATGGCTCTGTTAATGGTTCAGGGTTGAGTAAAGGCAGCAACGCGATTCAGGCGACTTGAGAAAACCAAGAAAGGAGATCCTGACCGGATTAAACCAGAGGATGTTCTTGGTTTTAGGAAGAAATGAACCAAGACATAAGCCATTAGAGTCAAACAGTACTTGCCAAGAAAAAAACATATCAAACTGTAACAGTAGACTTACCAAACAGTCAAACATGTTACTCAGCATGATGTCATACTTACACAAGATTAGCAGACATTACGATATTCCCCCTTATTATAATGTCGTAACATATTTTTTATTATTCTCTTCGTTCTAAAATGTATAATGTTTTAAAGAATTTTTTGGTGTTTTAAAACAAGCATGTTTTGATATTTTGAATTGATTTTAATTTTTTAGATAATTGTGTCATTAATTATATTTTACTTTTTTCTATAAAGAGTTGAATCATGTTAAGAAAAATGATCCCGAATAGCCTAATTTTTAATTCCTAAACTAGTCTACAAAGGTTAGAATAACTAATTTAACTAAATGAAAATTATAACATTTTATTACAGATATATAAAAATAACAGATGTTTAAATACTTTTTGAAATTTTATTAAAATAATTCGATTTTTAGAAATATCTGTCCGATTTTTTTTTTTCATTTTCTTAAAACCATATTTCTTTAAAAAGAATTAGTTTGAAGAATTTTTTTAAATCTATTATATTTTTCTGAATTTGACTTATATGTATATTTAGAAAAATACTGAATATGCCTAATATCTTCCTAAAATTTAGTTATTGATAAATATATATAAATTTAGGAAAGTCTTCACAAATGTGTATTTAAAATCACAGTTTTAAATTTGTGTTTGCTATTTACGAATGCTTTCAAGAACATATATATATATATATATATATTTGAATACTTTACTAAATATGTATTATATGTATATTC